CCCCTTTCCCCAATTCCCCAGCACTGTTCCCATCCCCCCCAATTCCCCAATAAAAATCTTAAAAAAAAAAAAAAGAATAAATGGAAACCCCTGCCTCACCAATTCCATCATGCACACAATAAAAAATTAACTCAAAATGGATCATAAACTGAAATATGTAAGTGGTAAACTATAAAACTTTTAGGAGAAAACTTCATGACCTTGGGTTGGGCAGAGTTCCTCAATACAACACTGATACATAGAAGAAAAATTTAATAGATTGGACTCTGTTAAAATTAAAAACTTTTATACTTCAAAAGATAGCATTAAGAGAAGAGATATTCGTACGCCCACGTTCATAGCATTATTCACAATAGACATGAGGTGGAAGCAGCCTAAGTGTCAAATGAATGTATGAACAGAATGTAGCATATATGTGCAATAAAATATTACTCAGCCTAAAAAAGGAAATTCTGACACATGCTGTGACATGGTTGAGCCTTGACATTATGCTAAGCGAAATAAGCCAGTCACAAAAAAACATACTGTATTGTATGATTCCACTTATATGGAATGCTTAGAATAATCAAACTCAGCAAGCAGAAGGCTGGGGGCTGGGTGCTGGGTACTGGAGGGAGAGAAGAAGGAGTTACTGTTTAATGGGTATAGAGTTTCAGTTTTGCAAGATGAAAAGAGTTCTGTGGATGGACAGTGGTAATGATGGCACAACAGTATGAATGTACATAATACCACTGACCTGTGCATTTTGCCACAATTAAAAAAAAACTTTTTAAAACATTAAGCAAAGGAAAAGAAGCCACAGATTGAGAAAAAAATATTTGCAAACCATATTATGAGTGCTATCAAAGAACTTGTAGTTAGAATATAGAAAGACTGCTTACAACTGATTAATAATAGGAAGATAACCCAATAAAAAATAGGGAAATGCTTTGAATAGACATTTCACCAAAGAAAAAATAAAATGGTTAATGAACACATGAAAAGATACTCAACATCATTAATCAGAATGACCATAATAAAAAAACTAGCAATACCAAGTGTTGGTGAGCGTGTCAAGAAACTGGAACCCTCATGCATTGCTGGTGGGAATGTAAACTGGTACAGCCAGTGTGAAAAAGAATTTGGCAGTTTCTTAAAAAGCTAACCATAAACTTACCATAGAACTCAGCCATTCCACTCCTAGGGATCTGTCTACCCAAAGGAAATGAAAACAATCTGTCCACACAAAGATGTGTGTGTACAATAATGTTTATAGCAGCAATATTCATAATAGCCCAAAACTGAAAACAATCTAAATGTCCATCAGCTGGTAAATGCATAAACGAACTATAGTATATCCGTAAGTGGAAAACTATTCATTAGTAAAAAGGAACAAACTACAGACACATGCAGTATCATAGATAAACCTCAAAAATGTTAAGTGAAAGAAGCCAGTCACACAAAAGACTTCATATCCTATGAGTCCATTTCTATAAAATGTCTATAAAAGGCAAGTTTATATATAGAGAAAGCATGTCAGTGGGTGCTTAAGGCCTGGGGTGGGAGTGAGGATTAACTGAACGGCACAAGTTATCTTATCGGGGTGATGGAAATGTCGGAGATTGTGATGATGGTTGTACAGCTCTAAATTTTTTGCAATTGTTGAATTATACACTTATACAAATAGGTGAATTTTATGAAATAAATTGTACCTTAACAAAGCTGTGTTTTAAAAAAGGAGATGA